TTACTTTATTATAGGCGTTATCCAAAATTTCTGTTCAGTCTAGAATGTATTCTTCAGTACTAAAAAATACAGTTAAGTATTAAAAGGGAACAATAAATTTGACAAGAAACAAAATGATTTTTAAGTATTCAACTGAAGCAGAATCTTCTCCTTCTACCGCGTGCTCTCCTTTCATTAAAAAGAACAATTATTTCTGAATTAGTTGTCTTTTACTGCTTCCGGAAACTAGTGAAACTTCTCAGAAGCTAGCAATTGTTTAGGGATTTACTGTGGATTTCTTTTTTTAATCTCTTTCCCTTACTTTCTTTTGCTCCAATTAAAGCAAGCTTAGAGGAGCCTTTGAAAAATGTTCAAGATTGTTTTCGATTTGATATTTGCGTGGCCTGCTTTTTCGAATGTCTAAGGAAAGTTTGCCGTTGAGTACCATTGCCCAGTGCTTATACAAATTGGTAGTGCTTCTATAAATTTCTTTCCTTTCTGATGAAAATTTAAACTTCATTTCTCAATAAGGTAAATTTTATGAGTGGAAAATACATTTGCACTATATTCTATACCTTCCGTACCTTTATGCTACTTTTCAGGGCTAGAATTTATGATATTATTGGAATGTAGTAATTCAGCTACAGCGTACTAAGGAAACATGGGAAGATAGTTGACTCTCTCTTCAGATGTTATGTTGATTGTCACTTCGTATCTCTATTTACGCTATGTAATACAAATCATATCAAAATTGATCTCTGATCAAATCTTATCAAAATTCAGTTCTAATGCATATGAAAATTATGTCTCCGAAGCACATACCTACGTGAGACTGAAGGACATTAATCCTAAATGAACTTCATAGTCTCAATTATGGTGTTCTTCAATTTAATCTATTCAAAATAAAGCAGATTTTAAAATCATGAGATCGAAAAAATGAAAAAATTTTGCTATTTTTATGCTTTTTCATATTATTTCTGACACACAGTTATACATTATACATTCCTGATTTTGAATATATGACATGACAATAAAGTTAAGTGAACAGGTTCATAAATAAAAAATTCCTTCCTAAATCAGGGAAAACGATTCATATTCCTTCGAAGTAATGCCTGTAGTTTGCAATGTACTCTTGACAACTGCATAGTTCCTGAAAACTGCAGATAATATCCTCTTTCAGGTTCGGGAACAAAAAAGAAGTTTACTTAAGCCAGATTAATTGCTACGGTAGATGGTCGAGAGCTAAAACTCTTCTACAGGCCAACAAAAGCCAATGTGTTCAGGTATTATCATGGAGAAGAAAAAGAACAAGAGCCTGCTGCACCGTTCTGGGCGTACAGGACAGCTCCTTTGCAATAAATCTGCCAGAATATTTTTGCACGTGTTAGCATTTATTGTTCTTCCTGGATAACATTATATTCACGTTTTCGATGTTTTCGTCGTTACAAGAAGCCTTAGGCCTACTACTTTAAGCAGCATAATCAATGGAGTCCATTTCATCTTGAAAACGTTTAAACCATTCATAAACTCACTTAAAAGATCACAACTTTATCTCCATAATCCTGTTTCATCATGTCTTGACTTTCTTTTACAGATTTACCAAGTTTGAAACCCGAGCTTTAAATCCAGCCGTTGCTACGCCTTTGCATATTAGAGTGTTACTAAGAGAAATTCATAACACTTTTTATAATGTCACACTCAAACTTGTTCAGACATATTATGGAATATCTCTGCCACACTTTTTATCATTCGCCCACTCCCACGCAAGCGCATCCTTTGACGTCATTTACTGAAAAGCGTTTTCATACTATCTATAAATTACTCACACAATCAATTAAAATGCAACGACGTATATTTTGTAAATGAAAATTGGTTTTAATGCAACACATTGACCACTAAAATATGACTATAAAATAGTATTTTAACGCATGCAATTACTTAAGAAATTGCATTTTTAGAAACTGCAAACTTCCGATAGTTAGTTGGTCTGTATGCCGCTTACTTATGAGAAAATACCTAAGGGCTCTCTGCCTGAAGCAGGGATAGACTTCTTAATATAAACTGCCTTAGACTTACGTTACACACAGGAAAATTACGAGGCTTTCTAGCAGTGAGCACATTTCAAAGATCCATTATCTACCAAAGGGCAATTTTTTCCTCTTAAATATACGAGATTGATTTTGTTACATGACTGTTGATAGCTAGCTGTTTGACATTATTGTAAATAGTGCATAATAAAAATTTTACCTAGTTAATTTCCTCTATCAACCACTCACCCTAAAGCGATATCTTTACTGTGTGGCCGAGTTATCTCCTATTGCTCGATCTGACTACGGAAACGGAAGATAGCACAAAATGTAAAAGTTAACCTAAACTCATTTTCCTGCTACTGGTAAGTTGAACTTAAGACTAATATAACACAAGCGCATCTGAGAGTCCAAGTTCTCAAGGAGAATCTAACACTCCGAAGTCAAGTCTGAAATAAAAGTGCTGATGCTCTCTGCAGCGTTGTATAGTTTCTACCGGTCGCCAAGAAATCTTCAGTACCTTCTATTTCTCAAAATGACTGGAAGGCATATGCGATTAAAGTTATATGTAAGGGCGGGATATATTTGCAGTTGCATACAGGGATCAATTACAGTTATTCAGTTACAAAACCAAACACAGTTACACAAGGACCGGAGCAAAATTTCGCCAAATGGTCACAAGTTCGCGATCTCTGCTGATTTCTCGTCAAATTCGCGATAACATTTATCGCCAAACCCCTCGCCACCTTGGCGATATCTCGCAGATTTAGCGAGACAGTCATTTACCTCAATATTAAATAGACTTGCCCCTGTATTCCTATTTTTCCGGCAGATCGTCGTCTTTTCAGATTTTTTTTTTTTTTTTTTGTTTTACATTATGCAAAAGACACTACAATTTCACATATAATTTTGCTAAAATTATTTAATTTTATACAAAATTCATAACAAAATGTTAACTTGCTACAACTACAGCAATCCTAGGCGAAGCTACAAAAACTGGGTAGAATAAATTAAATTTTGTTAATGTTCAACACTTGTCAAAACCGTGACGAATAGCAGGCGTTCCTGTTTATGCTGATTAGCGATTCCGCTCTAACACGTAAGCAGATGGTGTCAGCATCAAGTCACTACTACAAGTCATGACGGTTACTATCCTTCTTTGTACTTTAAACTATGCCGCTTGAAATCTGCAAAATTCCCTGTACTCAGCAAGTACATGGCAAAAGGATCCTTAAACTAAAGAATCAAAATAAGATTTATCTGTTGGTAAAAATTATATAAAATGTTATAAATTCAGAAGTTAAATGTATTACCTTAACGTTACTCGTCCATGTTTAGGAATCACGAACGAGTTGACCAAGTATGTTGCGCGTAACCATCAATGCTTATGTGTCAGAACACGTGCCAAGTGCCAGTAGAATGTATTGAAAAATTATACCACTGAAATAAGGTTAAATGACTGACCTGAAAAAGCAAAATTATGTACAGGTTTAATTAAACAGCAGCAAAACTCAGCAGCAACCAAAGTTTAATCAAAGTTGATAAAAATACCACTGAAATTTAACGTATTTGGCACAGAGAGGTTTCAATAATTTAATACATATACATGTATTTTGATGCTAGAAACATGTGTTATTTAATCTTTCCAACTTTCGTTGTCATTGCCCTTTCAGAGCATTCACTAAATATACAGCTGAGCAAGTATTGCCATTATAGGTAACATAATATCTTTATTTTATCGTTAACATGACCTGTCAGTTCTTACAGTGTTTCTGCCATTTGACGTGGTATAAAATATTTATCTTTCGAACTAAAACTATAGTTGTTTAATGCAATTGAGTGATTTTTAAAGTGATGCACGTAATATGTGCTTTTGGATAATTTATATCTTCTCTTTAGTTTCTAATAATATCGCTACTTGATTTAATTTGATGTATACAGGTGGCCACCGAAATACTGAAAAGTTTTAAAATTCATAACTTGTTAGTTTTTAATCTTTTCTTTTTCTTTTTTGGTTAGAAACGATCCCTTTAAAACGGCTCGGTAAACTTTTTCTATTTCAGTGAATGACCACCACTATGTCACTGTGCACAGTGCGATTAAGACCTTTTTCCCGGAAAATCGCAGGCTGATCCAGTTCTTTCAAACTGGGTGATTAGATACCAAATTATGTCATCGCCAGGAGATACTCCGACATTAAAATATTGTTGGTATTTTCTCTGATTATGAATATAGTATCTTTCACTGGTAAAAAATATCTTCAGTGAGTTTTACTCAATTTGTTGGACTTCATGCACAGCTATTTTAATCTGCAAGGGATGCTCTATAATCTACAAGAAGAGCAAATAAAAAAGGTTAAAAACGAACAAGTTACTAATTTTTTAAACCCTTTGGTCTTTCAGTGTCCATCTTTATTCAAAATTCATAAGATTTTTAATATAACTAACTAAAAAGTTTTATAACTGTTTACAGTTTTATTTTACTTAATAAAGTATGATAATTGCTACTAAATTTTTAATAACTATGTTTATGCTTTTCATTGCATTAACTCCTTAAGCAAATCGGTGATAAGTTATAAACGAATGCAATACAACTGTAATTGTACACTTGCTACATTGCTAGAATAGCGAATAGGTGTGCTATTTATGGAATACAAGTGATTCCACCTATCAACAGAAAGTGATCGAAAGAAATGTGTAAATATCGTAAAATAGTTCCAAATCTGGGCTCTGAAAGAGTGTGTAACATGGTATTACACATTCTAATACCGTTAGTAGTGAAACAATAAACGTACTAAAATATGTAAGTAATAAATAGCCCACTTGTTTCTAACGCACCCAGAGACTAGAAATAAAAGCACTGTATTGTGAAACTGTAATACAATGTAATGTAAAATTAAATTCACGTATGTAATCTTACATAATTTTTCCTTACTGAAATGCATAGCCTAAGAATATAAGGTATTTTATCCCTTCGTATCTAGCGCTTTTGTGGTGTGTTTGGAAGATTGTCCGGATAACAATCGGAAGATCAGGAGTAAATAGCAGCACGCCTAACTGACAGTCGGAAGGTACTGCGTTCGAATCCCGGTGGCAGCACTGAACATTTTTTCATGTTTCCTGCTTCTGCAAATGTAATGACTCTACAAGCCTACCATCTTTATTACTTGTATTGTATAATATACCTAGGTAAGGATGAACATGCATTTCAAAAACTGTTATGGTGAAAGCGCATTTCTAATATCCTAATGATTAAATGTATATTTAAGCTAATATAATGAAGTATGTGTATTTTGAATATCGTAATGAAGGAGTGTATGTTCAAATATTGCAATAATAAATATCTATTTTGGAAAAAGCATTTATTATACGAAATATAATGAAGCAAAATCGTGTAACGCGTGTGTTCTAAAACAGCTGTCGGACATGGTGAGCATTATAAAAATTCAGTTGTTTAAAACAAATAATAATGTGAGTGAGCTTCCATCCTATGAGCATTGTATTTCATTGAATTTTACTTATACGAACTATAAAACTTTTAGAATTTAGTAGATTCTAATTAAACCAGTGTTCAAAGTCATTTCTATTCCGTTCTTCAGCAACAGCCATTAACCAGAAGACGTTTTTGTTATATTTAAAAAAAATAGCATTCCTTTTCACCTATAGTTACAGATGAGTACAACTTGAGTTCGATACTAATCGAACGGGCTGGCTGCAATGTTCATTTTCTTGGTTTTCGCCATCTGTACCATAAATAGCAGCTAATTTCCCTGGTAACTTCTCCATGGAGGCATTCCTCCTCATAGTCGTGGCGTATTCAAATAGCATAACGTAACCTTCTCGCAAAACGTATATGATTATACTGACAGCTCTTTCGGCTGGGATCGAATTCATGTTTGAGAGAAAGACAAACCCTAGTCAAATTTAAGGAAAGAATTTTAGTATTAAAACATTGTATACTGGGGAGCAAACTTTATTCGATTACACATGTAGAAGTTAGCTGGAGATTTTATTAAAGTTTCGACCAGTATGTCTTAAAATAAAAGTGGAAGACATAAACTGTTCTAGTATGTAGAAACATTTGTATATCATTGGGAAAAGCCATCAAAGTACGCACTTTGTCCAGACACGAAACTTACCCATTAAAGGACAAAAAAGAAAAAAATAGAAAAAAATGAAAAGTATTGCTCAGATAAAATGCATCTGGCTACCTACACCAAGACGTCTTTTCTTCTATCAGCTCGTTTCTAGCGTCCATTACAGATCGCGATGCTTTTCGAAAAATCATTTTTATTTTTGGGTAAAATATATAGCCACCCGTGATACAAATCTTTTCGTTGATTTTTTCACTTTGAAATTTTACGACTATTTGAAATGTATCTGAAAACCTTGCATTTATCACACGTGTGACGAACTGTTTTCTCGAATTATGAATCATGTACAGGCACAGAATATCATCTCATCAAACCGTAGAATAGTCGTGAGTGTATAATGCAATTGTCGTGTGTGTATAATGCAACTGTGTATTCAGTTATGCTATATATGCTGAGGATACATAGTATATATATAAATATATATATTATTAGGCACGACGTAAATGAAGGGAGCGAAGGAAAGAGTAATAAATTTCCTTCTCTTATCTTTTATTTGACTGACAGCCTGAGTGTCTACCTTGCAAGAAAAACGTTCTCTACTCTCAAATTATACTCTATCTATCACTTCTTTTATCTCTTATAAACGTATGTAAAGAACAGAGCTTTCAATAATATTTTTATGCTGTAATTATAAAGAACTGCGAAACATAAAATTGAGTAACGCAACAATTTTGTGTTTAGTGTAGATTTTAGTGGAAACTATCGATTTCGAGGGCAAACAGGTACCTTCTTCATCAGAATCAAAGAAATCGTCTTTTTAGCAGATTTCTCTGACTAAATATAAGGTTGTTGCTTTGCCTAATTTTTTGTTTTACTTTAGCGTGTTGCTTTTCTCTCTTAATGTGCTGTGAATTTAATTGGGCTATCGGCAAAGAGCAAGTGTATGGGGAATATTAAAATGTACTCTTACGTTTTTCCACACTACTTTCCCTTAATTTTTTATTTCCATTTAAAAACTGTATTTTGAAGAAAGAAGTACTTTGTTTCTTTGTCTTAAACTTGCCTGTGCTTTAATTTCATTCAAAATCATTGTAATCACTTTCACTTCTGTTTTTAATGACTCTGTCATATGTATAGCCTAAAAATTCAAAATAGAATACACTGAGCTAAAGTACTTTATAGATTTGCTTTTTTATTAAGAAACAATTTTAAATAAAAGAATAAAGTTTTAACTTATTTTAATTTTAAAATTAGTTACTTTAACTTTTTATATTATAATTTTTATCAAAGTAAATTTTGGATAGAATGTATTGGATATTTATTTGGATAAAAATTTAACTCTTTCGTCTAAAATTAGAGCGGTCTTTATGCGTTGAATATAGTGCGTATTCGTAGCACTTTATGACATTTAGATGATCACACAAACATACTCGGTGTAAAACACTATAATAAATTCACTTCCAAATCTGAGAAATTATAATTTTGTCTTTAAATGTTTCATATTTCTCGTGGGCCAAACTATTAGGCTTCTGTGAGTTCGGAATGTGTTAACTCGACTGTGCAGTCGAGCTACGTAGGATTTGAGTTACATATCTTTCAATTACCATCTATGCGTGATGATCGCTTACACCACGGCAGAACGCGCGGGGAAAAAGAATAATTCCTTATAATATATTTACATAGTCACTTGTATTTCCGTATAAGTCGTTAATTCACTCCAGATCCTTGGACGTACGCCAAAGGAACATTACCAATAAGAAATAAGGAGAAAAAAATCAGTTTTTAGAATAAAACCTATTGTTTTTATTATAACACTGTTTAATACGTAAGTACAAATGCAGTGAATGAAAAGTACACTGTAAATAAATGAAGAATTGCGCATGATACTATACCTAAACGTTTTTCTACTATCCGGATTAAAAGCAATTTTTCAGCATTTTCTAACTTCTCTGACCTTTGTTAAGTAATCTATTTCACCCAATTCGAAATTTTAGCCCATTTATAATAGCGGCATTGTTTTTCACAAACGTACTCAGCAGACGATATGCAGTAGCGAAATCTCGGATACGCATGTCATCTTCATATTTTTCAATAGTCTCGTTTTTCAAACCCATGGTGATCCTAACAATTTTCTTAGTTGCTTGACTCGTCTCATTAATTGCCCTAAGATTATTGCTAATAAATTTCTGAACATTTACAGAAAAAAGTGCAAAATCACTTGAAAACTCAGAGGTACCTGTTTACTGACTGATATAACAGGTGTACTGTAATCGTAGCTTTGTCTCGAAAGAGATAAACAAGGATAGTGAACGCAATCGTGACATATTGAACGAGTCATACTCTAAGAAAATACTGTACACCAAATAAACAATTTCGCATCCATATAGGCCGTATATTAAAGCGAACATAAACAGACGTACCTTGTAATAGAATAAAATGAAAAAAGAAAAAGAAATTTTATAGATTTTGCTTCTTGAACGCTCACTTCGCTGAAGATGTTCTATTTTTCTTCTTTGAATTTTATTTTATTGAAATTCGTTCGTTCATGTTATCATTGCTATAATTTTGAATGCTTATCTCCATATTTTCTATCTCTGTTTTGTATTCTTTTCGTTATTATCATAATCGAATTTTGAGTTGCTTAAAACTTCATATTATAGATCTATTATTAGTACAAATGGGCGTTTATAATAGAACTTTTCCTATAAATCCCAGTCGGATGAGGAACTAAAGGTAAAAATTTGGTTCAACGGTTTCAGCAATAAATCCATGAAACACGGGTAAGTTTAATTGTTGAAAAAAAATTATTACTAAAGATCTTGTTGAGAACAAGATGTGACACTATGAGCTGCAAAATGCAATGTAGCTACGTAAAAATATGTTCATTTGCAGAAGAACCTGCACTAAGTTACAAATCCGCGATCAGAGATTATATATACACACCTAGAAACGAGATCCATAACAAGATTTAGAAATTCATAAAGGCTCATTAATGTTAGACTATGGTTACAGCATTATACAGCTAGCTTCAGCACTGTATGTACAAAAGCAAATCGCTTAGGTTTGCCCAATAAAGGCTACTGCGAAATGCTTGCTGAACACGCGACATTTGAATCAAAACACGATAGACTGCACCCTGTAATGACTTTCCGATGATATGAAAGCACGACAGGAACTTTAGATGAAGCTGAAAGATGTATATCTGAAGATGATTTTGTAGAAAAATGGAACTCGGGTTTATCGGAACAGACCGCCAAGACTAAAACAATTCCCATGTTTTCCAAAAATACTTTTCCGTCACAAAATATCGCTCTTACGATGTGGCTTTGAGATATTACTCATAATTTATATCCCTGTATTTATACGATAAATGTTGTGGACCCTAGACATGCCAGAACATTTGGATCGAAATACGTGTTTGTGAAGAGATGAGTTTTCACACCGCCAAGAATAAAAGTATTTTCGTTAATTTTGTACAAGACAAAGGCTCGTCCGATATCGAACTAGTTTCATTATTAATCTAGAAATATCTCAAACGTAAGGTTCACCAAAGTCTCCCTTTAAGATTTAGCAATACTGTCACGTCAAGTTATAAATATTACTATCTACTACTTTTATAGTGCGAATGAAAGCATTTCCCAATGTGTGTAGAGTTTATAATAACAAAAGTAACATATTGCCCAGGAACCTGTATTTGTTTCAGTTCTTGGTGAAACTAAGCAGTGAAATACAAAACCTTATTTGCATTTCATATTCAAATTTTCTCAAATGTACAGTACACTCTACTTCTTTACCTTACCACAGGACGTATTTCTACTGGCGGGGGATTGTTGAAACTATATAATTCGCTTTTTCATGCTTATCACTTACACATTATTGTGAAGTTAAGATAAGAGTAATAATCTCTCTGGGTTGCTATTAATTCGAGCACTTCGACTACATCTAGCCTGTCTTTACACATAAATATATAACATACACATACACACAGTCCTTAATGCTTAATTTGGTATTTTCTTTCGGTATTCTGAAAATAGCAATCTTTTTCTGCACTGCATCATTTCGAGACTAATTCATGTCATATGACTCTTTCATAAC